ACATATGACACGATCGCCGACATTACAATTGAAGAATCCAGCTTCAATCATTTGTTCACTTGACGGTGATGTTCGATGTGGCCAATGTGAAAATGTTCGGTGCCGTATTTGCTTAAATATATCTAGTTCATTAAATATACTTGATCGATACTTTTCTTTATGTATTTCTATTTTCTGACATTTAGATAATTGTTCTCTATCATTTAATATTGAGGTTGATTGAATAACATTCGTTGAGGCGGCAATAGTGGCTTGTTCGGTGGGTAGATGAGAACGAACGAATGCACATGCAGGTCTAAGTTGACCATGAATACTTAATAGTTGCATATCTGACGTACAATCTGACACTTCTAGTCCACAAGTATCACAACGTATTTTATTATTGTCGATATAGTAAAACCCAGCATCCATCATAGTAGAAACAGAATAAAATCTTTTTTTTTTTTTTAATTCTTGACGTATGTCGTGTAATTTGCGACGTATGTCACTGCTGTTTAGTGATTGAATTGGTGTGACATGAGTTTTCCCCAAAGGTAGTATTATATTTGATAAACATTGTGTTATAGCCATTGATGACGCCATAATCGACTTTACTCACAGATTTATTGGTATCGACGAAAAAATGGTGAATTTAAATATAATATGATAAATTATTGAACTCTACAACGATAATAATTAGAAAGCATTTACTTCCATGCATAAATTTTTGATTTCATCAATAATGAGGTAGAAAAACTGGATAGAATTTATTTTGTATTATTGCTAAAGCGATCTTAGAAGGAAATTATCAAAGGAGAAAGATAATAGGTAAACCTGAAAAATGTCGAAAATAAAAATGTCGAAAGTAGAGGCGTTAAGAGACGTGTGGGTGACTCGATAAGTGGCGCCTCTACTTTCGACATTTTTCCTTTCGACATTTTTATTTTCGATATTTTTCAGGAGAACCAGATAATAACTTTATTGAGACTATATCGTATTGTGTGACTTGCACACGAAAGAATCGATAGTGAGACGTGAATCTAGTTGTTAGATGCAGTAGTATGGATAAATTAATTATATAAACACCGAGTTAATATGGAAATATTGCGGAAGTGAAGAAAGAAAATACTAGTATAATGAAGACAGTCGAAACTAGAGTAAACTATTTATTTAGGAAGCGAAGTATAGAACGAATAACAGACCAGAATAAAAAGAGCCTAAACTTAGAAAAGAGTGCTAATGGTAAAGAATAACAGTTAAAATACAATTACTTCAACTTGAAATATTGTTGTCTATTTACGTCACTATTATGATCTAAATAATGCAAGTAGTGTTGAATAAGGTTAACCAGAGTTGCATATTCTTATATAAAGTGTGGACAAACAGTTCCCGGAAATATTCCCATCTATATCGACAGGGAAATTTCTAAGTACTTTTCCCCAAAGATTAGAACTTAAAGATAGAAATCAATACATCATCATATCTATCCCGTGAAAGTATCAACATGTCACGCATGTTTTCTTATCAATGGTAGCTTAGAAGACACACCCAGATTGAGAGGGCGTTTTTATATATCCCATTTACATGGATTTTTTCCTTATCGAAATTTTCGTCTTCTTTTTAGGCGAAATTTAATATTATTCTTACTTGAGAAGCAGTATTATTGGTCAATATTTGCTTGACGAATTATACATCACGTGGGACTTTGCCACATACGAACGATAAGAAAAAAGAAAAGAATCAAGCAACGGCAAACAGAAGAAAAACACATTAAGAAAAGAAAAAACCATGTGCTTCAGAAGCATGACATCATTCAAATGTTGATATTGCTGAAATCATTCTTCCAGGCTTGACAAACATAGAAATAACCATTCTATTGTCGGCGCCAGAATTAAATAGGGGTGGGTGTAAGCTCAATAACTCGACAACCGCAATAGCTAGCGATCTGCGGTTTTCGTCAATCGAAAGAGGAGGAGTTGGGACGTCTTTTTCT